ATCTTTACCACAGAAATTACAATATGGCCTATTTCCTTTTTGTTAACCCGAATTACCAACTCTTTGTGTGATAGAAGACTGAGAAGATTTACTGAACCCTTAAGACTGTGAGTGTGATACCTGAAAAGCAGCAGAGTTGAGCTCATTGTGAAGAGGAGCTTTCACAGTTTTCTGGCTATCATCTTGGTCCAAGAGATTGTAAATCTTAGAGAGAGAAGGAAGAGTCTTCTTCATGAGTATGCGGCTACGGATATTGTCATAGGACTCATTTAATCCCATCAAGAAGTCAATAACACGATTAGTCTCCTTTTCTGCAAGAAGATCCTCAACAGTGTGGGAAGTAGTCTGAATATTGGAAAGTTCTTCCCACAAGGTTTGAGTCTGAGTGTGATTGGAAGACAGATCCAAACTGCCTTGTTGAAGATAGTGAAGTTGGTGACGAAGCTTGTATAGGCGAGGAAGATTGGATTTGTGAAAGCGAGTGTGAAGATCCTTCCAAATGTCATAAGAGTACTTGATGTACAAGATGCTGGAATAGATCTTCTTATAAACGCTGTTCAACAATCATGATTTCACCATTGAATTGCAACGAGACCAAATCTTAAAATACGGATCACATTCATCCGGTTTAACAATAGATCCATCAAGAAATCCTAGCTTGTTCTTAGCTTCAAGGCTCGTAACCATAGCAACATACCGGACATTGTAATTATTGCCATGAAGAGGTTCTGATACTAAGACTAAGCCAGGGTGATCAGAACTATGTAAATGATACGGTGAATGTATATTATCCGGTGAATCTGATACCTCAAAAGGATCATGAGATGGAGTAGAGAGAGATCGGCGAGCTGAACCACGATCGGGAGGAAGAGAAGCTCGATTTACCGTTCCCAAAGACTTGTGAGACGGAGGAAGATCAGATGGCTCACCGTGTCCTCGAGGTGACACCCCAGTGCCGGATTCAGGTGAATCGGGAGCTAGAGTGCGATACTTCGACTTGCAATTTCGTTTTCCCATGAGGAACTCAAATCCAGCTGCGATAAGATGAAATCGAAGCTAAGCGAGTGAAGAAAAACGAAAGAAGAAGCGAATCGAAGAAGAAGAAGCTCAAAGGAAGAGATCGGAAGAGATTCCGGCGAAGAACCAGTGAGATTCCGATGAAACGAAGCGGAAGAGTTTGATAGAGATCGATGAGAGTGAGAGTGAGAGTATTATGCTCTGATACCATATTACCAAATAAACTCATTCTCATTTATTAACATAAACTTTACAATTGTGGGTTTATATACACAGACATGAGGCCTAAACAAAAGCCACTAAACCGACTCTATATACGGTTTATATTGGTTTATAGAGGTTACCAGTTTACAATGTTCTCTATATACTAATAAACACTAAGTAAAACAAAAAGGCCAAAAGAGTTTTAGACTTTAGAGATAGAGTTTATGGGTGAAAGAAGCAACAACAACAAAAATACATCACTAGGTCACTGAATATGAACTCAACGACCTACTACAACATATATGATATAATATTATTACTCCTCTTATCGTAGACATTCTTATCGAAAGAAACATAGTTGTAGTAAGGTACTATGTTTTGTTAATGAAAATCAAGGTTAACCAAATTTCATCAGGTTTTTACAACTAGTGCAAGAACAAAACAGGAAAAACTTTTAAGCTCTAAAACATATGCTTAAAGGCGAGATATGTTATACTTTATTCTTCTTACACTTAAATAACAAGACACGCTAGTACTAAACCTCGCAAGATTACGATTAGACGATGACGGGTCGAGAAAGGATGAACTATGTTTAAACTTGGACACAAACTTCAAAGATTACGATTCAAAACAGAGAAAAAGAAAGAGATTAAGATTACATCAACTTTTTCATCTTGGTAGTCCCTCAGCCCAACAAGTATGATGTTCACCGACTGCGATCCAAACCTTCTTGTGCAAGGCACCACAGATATGGCAGAGACGATTAATGTTTTTGAATGGACTATTGAATATTCCCACAACTTACAATATGCAGCTCCAACCGATTCATATAACTTCCTTTTTTTGTTTGGCTTTGATTATGATTATTTGCTTAGATAGAAACTTAATCGGACAGACATACCATACCATTGGTAAAGACTTGAGAGAGATTTTGTAGTTCATCATATTTCTAAGGTCACTTAAATCAGTAGTGCAAACATCGTTAAGTTAGAGAATTAGTAGTAAAGAAAGCAATTTACATAGGCCAACACTGAACGCGTCCTAACACTAACAAAATGAAAAGCCAGCATACCAAACCTTAATATATGTACCCAAAAATTGTGTTTCTTTCTCTTACCATTGTATCTACAAACCGTTTTTTTAGAATTTAGAGATTCAGTGGAGGAGAAAACTTGTAACGCTATCACTAGCTAGATCTTATCTTAGCCTCATCATTTTAAGATATCTTTCCCTTTTTACAACAAGGAAAAAACACAAGAATTAAATATTTACACTTTTCTTTCACAAATAATCATGTTTTTCATTTTAATGCAAACTTAATTTTGTATTTCCTGATTTTTTATATACCAAGTAAATTCAACAAAATATCAATCTAAACTAGATTTAAAGAAAATCATCAAGAATTCACAATATAACTTCAAGACCGTTGTGTGCCCTAATACTCGAAATCAAAAGTCTCATCCACTGTCGACTTGATCCGCTCTCAAGGGAACAGAGGGTCTCCTTCAAATATCTCCGTCCTAGATACTTTTCGTTTTGAAAATTTCAACCTTAACTTGCTCGATCGCGAGGTCTACTTTGTTTTTGTTTATGAATTAGGATTCCAAGATTTATGGCCTGCTTGAGTTTTTTTTAAACAGAATTATAATAATAATGTGTTAAAAATTATAATAATAAATTGAAAGATTTTCGGGAAATCATAATAAAAATACCACTAATTTGTGCATAGTTTCTAAAAGATACAATAACTTTTTCTTCTTATTTGAGCAGATAGTTTTATTCTTCTTTTTTTTTGGCTTCAACAATTATTTTGATATATCTAAGAACATTCTCAACAGAGAAAGGAAGGGATAATTTAGCAAAAGAATCCGACTGTACATGGTAGTTTCCATCAACAAATTAGAAATTAAAATTTAAATATTGAAAAACAAAGAGAGCAATTTTAATATTAAAAAGAAATGATCACAGAAGATTCTTCTAAATGTTTTGATTATACGTTTCAGATTTTACTTGTAAAAGCTAAAATATGAAAGTGTTAGATTTAAAGTGGCTCCACTTGCAAATCTATAAGGTTCAGTTATTAATATTTAAATTCAAAAGAAAAACAAAACTTTACAAATTTTCACTTCTAGAGTCACAATTAAATATGTATGAGAGATGACTCGTTCATTGCTAGAATGCGTATAGTGCAAGGTACTACTTTATTGATTCTGATTTCGGCATTGCTTCTTCGTGGCTTGAGTTTTAAACCGTAGTTCATTAGTTACTGTATACAATGTCAAATAATCTAAAAGCAAGCCTATCACTACATGGGATATAACTTTCTCACATTGGAAAGGATCTGTTGTGGATTCAGTAGTGGGAGTTTTCCTAACCGAGAATGTTGCAGATCATTCATCAAGGTAATGCATTCAAGTGATTTGTAATAAACACAAGAAATGTGCAACATGAATGGTTTTCAAAATTATTAAGTTCTTCACCTTTGCAGTTCTGTATATATGGATCTTGCTGCTGAGTTTCCTATCAACTGAATCTTCAACAAGGGATCATCTCCTGAAGAGTGGGAAAGTTCAGTAACTCATGAAATAATGATGAAATTGGATCCGAGATGTGCAGTTTCAAATCAAAGAATTCGCAATCCAACTTGTGTGATCATAGAGGAGATTGATGATGATGAGGACGGCACCGATGCTGTTTGTTGCCAGGAATCCTCTAAAAGCAGTGACAGTTCCATCAACTCTACAAATCAATCAACAATGATGTTGAATCCATTTCACACAGGTTTTGTGAATGAGCAAGTTGATTCCCAAATGGTGAAAGGCAAAGGCCTTATATAAAACATGAGTCGTTCTGCGGGCACCTCTACTTTTTCTCACTGTGAACTGAACCTAAATAAATTACCACCTGAAGTAGAGAACTGTGATGTTAATGAATTCACTAACATAGTCTTTGAAGAAAGTCAAGTTCAACATATGTCCCACCAACAACAAGTATTGGAGAGTACCCTCTAGTTCTTGTTGATGGCTAGACATATGTTAAACTTGACTTTTTTCATAGAGTCTGTTTGTGATTGCATCAGTATCACAGTTCTCTACTCCAGGTAGTACTTCATTTAGGTTCAGTTCACAGTGAGAAGAAGTAGACGTGCCCGTAGAAAGATTGTTCATGTTTGATATAAGGCATTTGTCTTTTACCATTTGGGAATCAACTTGCTCATTCACCAAATTTGTGTGAAATGGATCCAGCAGCATCATTGTTGATTGATTTGTAAAGTTGATGAAACTGTCACTAGTTTTACAAGATTCCTGACAACAAGCAGCATCAGTGTCGTCCTCATCATCATCAATCTCCTGTACGATCACACAAATTAGATTGCGAATTATTGGATTTTGAAAATGCATATTTCGAATCTAATTTTATCACTATTTCATGAGTTATTGAACTTCCCCACTCTTCAGGAGATGATCCTTTGTTGAAGTTCCAGTTGATAGGGAACTCAGCATGAAAATCTATATATGTAGAACTACAAAGGTGAAGAACTTAATAATTTTGAAAACCATTCATGTTGCACATATCCTCTAGTTATTACAAATTGCTTGAATGCATTAACTTGATGAATGATTTGCAACATTCTGGGTAAGGAAAACTCCCACTACTGGATTCGCAACAGATCATTTCCAACATGAGAAAGTTCTATCCCCCGCAGTAATAGGCTTGCTTTTAGACCATTTTACTTTGTATAAAATAACTATGAACTAAGGTTTAAAACTTAAGTCACGAAGCAATGCCGAAGTCAAAATAAATAAAATTGTACCTTGCACTATACGTACCACAGTTGGTGTCTCTTGCTATAACGCTTGTTTCCCAAAGCTTGAATATATGAGAGATGACTCCTTACTTGTATATCTAGTTAGAGTAGTTGATGAGTTTGGATGGTCACCATGCCTCTTGTGTGGATCATAGCGGGCAAAGAAGCTCCGTGTTCGATCATGTGTAGAGTCTGAGGCATAGAGAACGATCAATGGCCAGAGTTGGTAGCCGGCGCATAATTCTATATTGTATACAATTTAAAAACTCAAAGTTAGTTAGTACTATCAAAGTTGTATTGAGAAGAGAAACTAAGCAAATGCAGTCAAGATATATATTTGATATAATTTAGAAAGGTTTTGGTTTATTCATTAACATAAGAGAAATATCTATACATAATTAGATTTCTTTATATGATAGAATCTTATCATATTGTAACCCCGTCTCCTTGAGCAAATGAGACAGCGTGCTACTTGCCTTACTAGATCATTCATCTATCTTACTTTCTCATACTTTTTTAAAAAAAACTTCCTTTATTAGAAACCGTAAAAATAACTTGTCTTAACGATTCCATGAAAATAGCCAAAAAAGTTTTATAAATAAAATTAAATCCGTTTTCAAAATAAGAAAATAACGGAAAAATAAATAAAACCCAAATTACCCAAAAAACACCAATAACGAGACGGAGTTGTGCCGAGCTAGAACACACAATGCAAGATATCCACATCAATATCAGGTTCGATTATCTCTCATGACCTTTGAACCTATCTACTTCCACTAGACCAGTCAGCCTTTTATTGGCTACAAAGAACTTGTCAATTCAACGCAAACCATTTCCACGTTCATCATCCTTAAAGATGGTAATCTAATTTAACATATCATACATCTTAAACTAGTATTTCCTAAGACATTATCTCAACCACTTTAAAACATTCATCACTCATCAAATGATCAATTTCTAATTATCAAGACAACACTAGTTCGCAAGCAAATCTAATCCTATGCAAAAGAATCATATATGATGTATAAGAGTAATACTTATAATCGAATTTCCGCAGATCACAACCTCACCTGAATCTGGAATGGACTGAGAACTGGAAGAGAACTGCTTAAAATGGCTTGAAACAATCTGAAACTTGCAGCAGAAGAAAACAATACAAAGACAGATTAGGTTTCTGGGTTTTGACTGAAACAGAGGATTCTTGCCCAACAAGCAATCCACGTGGTAACTAAGGTCTACCTTTTCTAGTGACTTTGAAGGCTCCAGCGCCTTCCCTGACACTTCGTTTATCAATAACCACCGTATACTTGACCTCAACTGATAAGAGATAACCGGAATATCCTCTCCAAAAGTCCAACCTGAATCTGGAATCTGATACGTTATTTCTGGGTTTAGAAACAGTGACTTTTAGCCAAATTGTAACTCGAATTTTGGATGGAGTTTACCTTGTAATGAAGAACCGTCAATTGCTACTTTTTCGTCGCAGCGTGTTCTGGTTCCTTCAGATCCGACGGAAAAAGGATCACCAAAAAAGCCACTTGAAACTGTTCATTATTCCTCTTCTCCACTAATAAATCCAATTGTTGCAGCACAAACCACGAAATTAGCAACCAAATAGAGACATAATCTATGGAATAAACCATATTCATGATAGATTTGTCTTACCTAATTGAAACCGGTGTTGAATGGTGAAGACGTGACGTTCAACTCTTCTCCGCCGTGATCCAACTCAATGGTGATGGAGGCTTGAAAACAAGGTTCTTTAGTGCTGCTTAGGGTTAGAGTTTTTGACGTCAAGAAGCGGCTGGAGGTAGAGAGAGATATATACATATGTACACTGCACACACACTCTTAGGTTTTAGTGTTTTTTGATTGGACCCTTATGGGCTTGAATTGGGTCTCACACATATCTCAATATGCTTAATTAGTATATTCTAATACATTCTAATAAAATTTGAGAAACCGAAACAATCATCCATCATGTTTCCTTGACCAAAACTTCGTGTCCTACACGAATCAATGTCCTAAAATGAAACTTCTTGTCCTATTTTAATACAAATCACTATTACACTAAGCATTGCTATCCTAAAGCCTCATATAACCAAAACTCATCGCAGTGCAATAATAAAACAGGAAGAAGAGAGAGCTGAAAGATAGAACTCGCCAGTGGGTGGCGGCAAATGGGTCATCACCACTTTGCAAGCTCGAGAAGTGTCGCAGTCCGTGCAATCACGTCATCACCACTTGCGGTTCTACCAGGGTTCTCCATGGTTCCAAGTCTTTGTCTGTGCGGCTGCTCGTTGCTGTATAGGAGATTGTGGTGGTGGAGGCTTTTACATGTGCTTCTCTACTTATATATACGTAGAGAAGATAGGGTTCAGTGGTAAACCCTTCTTTCCTTAAAACGCATGCAACGTGTGTTTTTTTAGAGTTTAGAGATTCAATGGAGGAGAAAAATTGTAACGCTGTCACTAGCTAGATCTTATCTTAACCTCATCGTTTTAAGATACTAGGTAATGTCCCGCGCATATGCGCGGGTTGTTGAATATTTATTTAATTATTTTATTTTATTTATTACTTATAAAAAATAAATTAAATAAATTTTAATGCTTATGACATTTTTACATGTTATTTATTTAAATCATACAATAGAAGCATACATCCATATCTTTTGAATTTATTCGTTGATTAATTGTTCAATTAATCAATTTTGAAAGTAATTTTCTTTAGTACTTTTAAGTATTTTTTGATAAAAAAATAATATTGTTAATGATAAAAATAGGAATGATATTAGGAGAATTTTTAAAAATACCCCTTTAAAATACCACTTTTTTATATTTACCCCCTTTTCAAACTTTATCAAAACAACCACTAAAAATGTTGAAATTTATCCAAATATGTGTGTAAACTTATAAATATACACAAAAATTACCTTTATTTGTGTATAAAATTTTATTTATTTCAATGTCTTACAAATTGGTTTGAATATAACAAAATTTTTTTTTTTTAAATAATTACATACTTTGAAAATAAAATAAATATACATGAATATGTGAGAAAGAAAAAAACATATAAAGTAAAACAATGAAAATGGTTTATTTAGCTTGATTTTCTTATGGTGCGATGGTCAGAAATCAATATTTTTGAATCCCATCGATAAAGTAATTTCCTTATATCCATAAAATATTATTATACATATGTATTATACATTTAATAGTATAAAAACAATGAAAAAATGAAGAAGTACATAAAATAAAAAAGAAATATAATTGAAAACAAAAGTTTTAACCAAATATATAATCAAGCTCTTACAATGATATCTTAATTGAGCTTTCAACCCATGTAAGAACATTAAAAATTAAACAAAAAAAATATTGAGAATATCAGATATGGTAGAGGAGGATGTAAAAATGAGTATTTATAGGATAAAATATGATGTAAGTTACAATTCTAAAATAATTAAATCAGATGAGTTATAATTATATTTTATAGTGTGTTAATTGAAGTTAAATGGAGGAAACAAATAGTCAATTGAAATGTTATATAATTTAAGTTACAATTTAATAGTAAAGTGTGGATTTCAAGTATGAATTAAAGTATATGACTAAATGTGTTAGATATTTGGTTTAATTAAAAATAAATATTATAATTTAAAAATAAATGCTAAATGGACCAATAAGGAGAGAGTGAAACCTTAAAAATTCCCAAGAAATAATTTTATTTTTACTCTCTTTTTATATTCCTCTTAATTTAAGTTATATTTCTAGGTTTAATTATATTTTTCATCCTTGTAGTATATATAATAGATAGAAAATGGAATATCAAATTGTTTTTTAGATATGAAATCAAGTATAAAATTCAAAGTTAAAACAAATTATAATGTTCTTTGTATTATTACATGTTGAATCACAAACTAAATATAAGGATCATTATTCTTAAAAGAATGTCTTACAAATTGGTTTGATAATTATATAACAAAAAGTTTATTTTGTTAAAAAATTACATACTTTTGAAAATAAATTAAATATACATGAATATGTGAGAAACAAACAAACATCCAAAGTAAAAGAATGAAGATGGTTTCTTTAACTTGATTTTCTTATAACCATAAAATATTATTACACATATGTATTACATTTAAAAATATAAAAAACAATGAAGACATAAAGAAATACATAAAAACAAAAATAAATAAAATTGAAAACAAAAGTTTAAACTAAATAATCAAACTCTTACAGTGATATTTTAAATGAGTTTTCACCCAATGCAAGAACTTTAAAAAAAAAAACAAAGAGAATAATGAAGATATGAGATATGATAGAGAAGGATGTGAGAATTGCTATTTATATGATAAGAAGTGATGTAAGTTACATTTTTAAAATAATTAAATTAGAGGAGTTATAATTATAATTTATAATATGTTTAATTGGAATTCAATAAAGAAAACCAATAGTCTTTGGAAATTTATATAATTTTCAGTTTCATTTTAGTAGTAAAGTGTGAATTTAAAGTATGAATTAATGTATATGATTAAATGTGTTTTTTTGGTTAAAAATAAATATTATATTTTAAAAAATAAATACAAAATGGAACAATAAAGAGAGTGGAACCTTACTTTTATATATATGATTTTAAATAATTTTCCACCAATAAGCCTTATAAAATTTGTTGTATGATATATGATTAAGTCCTTTCATTTTCTTTGCCATTTGATTATAACTTATAGTGTAATTAAATTTTGTATTGAATGATTGTCATAAACATTTATTTATTTATTTATTTTGTTGAATGATATATGATTAAGTCCTTTCATTTTCTTTGCCATTTGATTATAACTTATAGTGTAATTAATTTTTGTATTGAATGATTGTCATAAACAATTTTTTTTTTAAAATTAAAGCCTTCAATATTTTTCCACCAATAAGGAGAGAGTGAAACCTTACTTTTATATATATGATTTTTCCCTTTTAACAACAAGGAAAAAAACACAAGAGTTGAATATTTACACTTTTATTTCACAAATAATTATGGTTTTCATTTTTAGTGAAAAATTAATTTTGTATTTCCTGATTTTTTCTATACCAAGTTATAAAATTAACAAAACATCAGTCTAAACTAGATTTATTTATCATTTGGAATTTGATGAGTTGAGTACTCTTTATTGAAATTTTCGTAACAATAAGTTGAATACCAGATTCATTAGTATTTGAAGTTTTTGAAAATAGTTTTCCCTAGTCCATCTTTACATGTATTAGATTATGGGCTTCTAACTTAAAATCAATTGGCAATGAGTGGAGAGACCCATATCTTATATAAACCACTTAAGATCCTACTCAACTTCCAATGTGGGATATTGTTATCCCTAATACGTCCCCTCGAGATGATGACTCTTTACGCCATAAATCTCGATATGTTCGGGCATGAACCAGCGGGCCAACTATGGTGCCGGACCGATTGTGGATTGGGTTGAGTATGTACGGACCGGGCTCTGATACCATAGCAGATTATGGGCTTCCAACTTAAAATCAATTGGCAATGAATGGAGAGGCTCACATGTTATATATACTACTTAGGATCCTACTCAACTTCCAATGTGAGATATTGTTATCCCTAATAACATGTACACCAATATCGTCGAATGACCAAGACTGAAAATTTATCACTAATATTTCAGTCATTATATATATATCTCGTTCAATAGTCCCAAATCCCAACAATAGGTTGTTTATAGCTAGCCCTTGTCATTCGGGTACTCGGGTCGGGTTCAGATAAAAACCGTTATGGTTTAGATTTTTTGGGTAGAGGAGTTTAGGACCCAATAGGGTAAATATAAAAGTTCGGTTCGGTTCGGATCCATTTGGGTTTGGGTCGGTTCGGGTATAATAGTTACAGATATTGTTATCTTATCAAGGGGGCTAAGAAAAGTTAGTTCAATTAGTTTCAAGGGGGCTAAGAAAAGTTAGTTCAATTAGTCTTAAGGGGCTAAGAAACCAGGAAACTAGTTGACGGAAAGAGAAACTAAGAGACTATATAATATGGAAAAGTTGCCGGGACAAGAACAATTGTGTTGACACTCAAATTAGCTTACAAAGCCTTAATTGATCTCTTATGGAAGTAATTATGAAACGTATCAAGACTTCACAATTCAACTTCAAGACCGTTGTGTGCCCTAATACTCCAAATCAAGAGTCTCATATAACCGTTGTCGACTTGATCCGCACTCAAGGGAACAGATGGTCTCCTTCAAATATCTCCATCCTAGATACTTTTCGTTTTGAAATTTTCGGTCCTATCTACTTTTGGTTTGTGTGCCCTAATACTCGAAAACATGAGGTCTACTTTTTCTGTGTTTATAAATTGTAGTATACTTTATGGGAGGCACTGTGTAATGGTGTCGAGGATTCCATTGTTTTTTTTTTTTTTGCGGAATTATAATAAAAACTACATTACCAATTTGTGCATAGTTTCCAAAACATACAATAACTTTTATTTCTTATTTGAAAATAATTTTTTTTGGGTTCAACAACTAATTCAAAACCTTTAAAGACATTCTCAACAAAGGGATAATTTAGCAAAAGAATTCGACTATACATAGTGATTTCCATCAACAAATTAGAAAATCAAATATTGAAAAACGAAGAGAGCAATTCTAATATTAAAAATATATATCACAGAAGATGCAATGCTTTAAAAAAAAATTGATTATAAATTTCAATTTTTACTTGCAAAAGCTAAAATATGAAAGTGTTAGATTTAAAGTGGGTCGAGACACACTTTGCAATCTATAAGTTTACAAATTTTAGCTTCTAGTCCTTACTATAATAACTAGGCCACCCTGTAAATTTATAAGGAATCCTCACTTGTTTGTTAATCCATGGGGTTTAGAGTAGTTTGGATGGTCACCAATCACCATGAACCCTCCACAATATCAAAATATTGCTTAATGAATTATAAGAACAAAAAGAAGTATGAGTAGAATCAATGGTAAGAGAAAGAAACAAACACTAAGTCAAACAAAAAGGCCAAAAGAGTTTTAGACTTTAGAGATAGAGTTTATGGGTGAAAGAAGCAACAACAACAAAATACATCACTGAATATGAACTCAACGACCTACTACAACATATATGATATAATATAATTACTCCTCTTATCGTAGACATTCTTATCGAAAGAAACATAGTTGCAGTAAGGTACTATGTTTTGTTAATGAAAATCAAGGTTAACCAAATTTCATCAGGTTTTTACAACTAGTGCAAGAACAAAACAGGAAAAAACTTTTAAGCTCTAAAACATATGCTTAAAGGCGAGATATGTTATACTTTATTCTTCTTACACTTAATAACAAAACACGCTAGTACTAAACCTCGCAAGATTACGATTAGACGATGACGGGTCGAGAAAGGATGAACTATGTTTAAACTTGGACACAAACTTCAAAGATTGCGATTCAAAACAGAGAAAAAGAAAGAGATTAAGATTACATCAACTTTTTCATCTTGGTAGTCCCTCAGCCCAACAAGTATGATGTCACCGACTGCGATCCAAACCTTCTTGTGCAAGGCACCACAGATATGGCAGAGACGATTAATGTTTTTGGAATGGACTATTGAATATTCCCACAACTTACAATATGCAGCTTCAACCGATTCATATAATTTTCTTTTTCTGTTTGGCTTTGATTATGATTATTTTCTTAAATAGAAACTTAATCGGACAGACATATACATACCATTGGTAAGGACTTGAGAGAGATTTTGTAGTTCATCATATTTCTAAGGTCACTTAAATCAGTATTGCAAGCATCGTTAAGTTAGAGAATTAGTATTGCAACGTATTTTTTTTTTTAGTTTAGAGATTCAGTGGAGGAGATAACTTGTAACGCTATATCTCTAGCTAGATCTTATCTTAACCTCATCATTTTAAGATATCTTTCCATTTTTACAACAAGGAAAAAACACAAGAATTAAATATTTACACTTTTGTTTCACAAATAATCATGTTTTTCATTTTAATGCAAACTTAATTTTGTATTTCCTGATTTTGTTTATACCAAGTAAATTCAACAAAATATCAATCTAAACTAGATTTAAAGAAACTCATCAATAATTCACAATTCAACTTCAAGACCGTTGTGTGACCTAATACTCGAAATCAAAAGTCTCATCCGTTGTCGACTTGATCCACTCTCAAGGGAACAGATGGTCTCCTTCAAATATCTCCATCCTAGATACTTTTCGTTTTGAAATTTTCAACCTTAACTTGCTCGATCGCGAGGTCAACTTTGTTTTTGTTTATGAATTGTAGGATTCCAAGGTTTATGGCATGCTTGAGTTTTTTTAAACAGAATTATAATAATAATGTGTTAAAAAAATTATAATAATAATTTGAAAGAGTTTCGGGAAATCATAATAAAAATACCACTAATTTTCTTCTTATTTGAGAAGATAGTTTTTCTCTCTTTTTTTTTGGGCTTCAACAATTATTTTGAAATATCTAAGAACATTCTCAACAAAGAAAGGAAGGGATAATTTAGCAAAGTAATCCGACTATACATGGTAGTTTCCATCAACAAATTAGAAATTAAAAATTGAAAAACAAAGAGAGCAATTTTAATATTAAAAAGAAATAATCCCAGAAAATTCTTCTAAATTTTTTGATTATACGTTTCAAATTGTACTTGTAAAAGCTAAAATATGAAAGTGTTAGATTTAAAGTGGCTCCACTTGCAAATCTTTAAGGTTCAGTTATTAATATTTAAATTCAAAAGAAAAACAAAACTTTACAAATTTTAACTTCTAGAGTCACAATTAAATATGTATGAGAGATGACTTGTTCATTGCTAGAGTGATAGAGTGCGTATAGTGCAAGGTACTATTTTATTGATTTTGACTTCGGCGTTGCTTCTTCGTGTCTTGAGTTTTAAACCTTAGTTCATTAGTTAATGTATACAATGTCAAATGATCTAAAAACAAGCCTATTACTACATGGGATTGAACTTTCTCACGTTGGAAAGAATCTGTTGTGGATTCAGTAGTGGGAGTTTTTCCTAACCGAGAATGTAGCAAATCATTCATCAAGGTAATGCATTCAAGTGATTTGTAATAAACACAAGAAATGTGCAACATGAATGGTTTTCAAAATTATTAAGTTCTTCACATTTGCTATCAACTCGAACTTCAACAAGAGATCATCTCTTGAATAGTGGGGAAGTTCAGTAACTCATGAAACAATGATGAAATTGGATCCGAGATATGCAAATCCAAGAATTAGAAATCCAACTTGTGCCATCATAGAGGAGATTGATGGTGATGAGAACGGCACTGATGCTGTTTGTTGACAGGAATCCTCTAAAAGCAGTGACAATTCCATCAACTCTACAAATCAATCAACAATGATGTTGAATCTATTTCAAACAAGGTTGGTGAATGAGGAAGTTGATTCTCAAATGGTGAAAGACAAAGGCCTTATATAAAACACGGACATTCGTTCTGCGGGCACGTCTACTTCTTCTCATTGTGAACTGAACCTAAATGAAGTACCACATGAAATAGAGAACTGTGATGTTGGTAAATTCACAAACATAGTCTTTGAATAAAGTCAAGTTCAACATATGTCCCACCAACAACAAGTATTGGAGAGTACCCTCCAGTTCTTGTTGATGGCTAGACATATGTTAAACTTGACTTTCTTTATAGAGTTTGTTTGTGAATGCATCAGTATCACAGTTTTTCTACTTCATTTAGGTTCAGTTCACAATGAGAAGAAGTAGACGTGCCCATAGAAAGATTGTCCATGTTTGATATAAGGCATTTGCCTTTTACCATTTGGGAATCAACTTGCTCATTCACCAAATTTGTGTGAAATGGATCCAGCAGCATCATTGTTGATTGATTTGTAGAGCTTATAAAACTGGCACTAGTTTTACAGTGACAACAAACAACATTAGTGTCGTCCTCATCATCATCAATATCCTTTACGATCACACAAGTTAGATTGCGAATTATTGGATTTGAAACTGCATGTTTCGAACCTAATTTCATCACTATTTCATGAGTTACAGAACTTCCCACTTTTCAAGAGATGATCATTTGTTGAAGTTCAAGTTGATAGAAAACTCAGCAAGAAGATCCATATATGTAGAACTACAAATGTGAAGAACTTAATAATTGTGAAAACTATTCATGTTGCACATATCCTCTAGTTATTACAAATTGCTTGAATGCATTAACTTGATGAATGATTTGCAACATTCTGGGTAAGGAAAACTCCCACTACTGGATTCGCAACAAATCATTTCCAACATGAGAAAGTTCTATCCACCGCAGTAATAGGCTTGCTTTTAGACCATTTTACTTTGTATAAAATAACTAATGAACTAATGTTTAAAACTTAAGCCACGAAGCAATGCCGAAGTCAAAATAAATAAAATAGTACCTTGCACTATACGTACCACAGTTGGTGTCTCTTGCTATAACGCTTGTTTCCCAAAGCTTGAATATATGAGAGATGACTCCTTACTTGTATATCTAGTTAGAGTAGTTGATGAGTTTGGATGGTCACCATGCCTCTTGTATGAATCATAGCGGGCTAAGAAGCTCCGTGTTCGACCATGTGTAGAGTCTGAGGCATAGAGAACAATCAATGACCGTTGGTAGCCGGCACATAATTCTATATTGTATACAATGTAAAACTCAAAGTTAGTTAGTATTATCAAAGTTGTATTGAGAAGAGAAACTAAGCAAATGCAGTCAAGCTATATATTTGATATATAATTTAGAAAGGTTTTGGTTTATTCATTAACATAAGAGAAATATCTATAAATAATTAGATTTCTTTATATGATAGAATCGTATCATATTGTAACACATGTCTACCTAAGCAAATGAGGCAGCGTGCTACTTGCCTTACTAGATCATTCATCTATCTTACTTCCTCATTCTTATTGAAAAAAACTTCCTTTATTTGAAACCGTAAAAACAACTTGTCTTAACCATTCCATGAAAATAGCCAAAATAATTAAATCCGTTTTCAAAATAAGAAAATAATGGAAAAATAAATAAGACCCAAGTTACTCAAAGAAAACACCAGTAACGAGACGGAGTTGCGTAGCTACTCAAGATTCTCACTTACAACTGGAGAAAAAGGAAAGAAGGGGTGAGTAACGAATTACTCAGTGAAAATATCCTTTCCGCCCACTAGGAAAATTGAAGAAAGAAACTACCTTTGAACCACACTCATCAATCACATAGAAATAGACATAACAATCAACTACTCCGCAACATTGTGCCGAGCTAGAACACACAATGCACATCGATTATCTCTCATGACCTTTGAACCTATCTAGTTCCATTAGGCCAGTCAGCCTTTTATTGAGCTACAAAGAAAAACATTATCTCAACCACTTTAAAAGATTCATCATTCATCAAATGATCAATTTCTAATTATCAAGACAACACTAGTTCGCAAGCAAATCTAATCCTATGCAAAAGAATCATGATGTATAAGAGTAGGACTTATAATCGAATTTCCGCATATCACAACCTCCGCTGAATCTGGAATGGACTGAGAACTGGAAGAGAACTGCTTAAAATGGCTTGAAACAATCTGAAACTTGCAGCAGAAGAAAACAATACAAAGACAGATTAGGTTTCTGGGTTTTGACTGAAACAGAGGATTCGTGCCCAACAAGCAATCCACGTGGTAACTAAGGTCTACCTTTTCTGGTGACTTTCAAGGCTCCAGCGTCTTCCCTGACACTTCGTTTATCAGTAAACACCGTCTACTTGACCTCAACTGATCAGAGATAACCGGAATATCCTCTCCAAAAGTCCAACCTGAATCTGATACTTGTTATTTCTGGGTTTAGAAACTGTGACTTTTAGCCAAGTTGTAACTCGAATTTCGGATGGATTTTACCTTGTAATGAAGAACCGTCAATTACTACTTCTTCGTCGCAGCGAGATCTATCCAACGACACCAATAGCGTGTTCTGGTTCCTTCAGATCCAACGGAAAAAGGATCACCCAAAAAGCCACTTGAAACTGTTCCTTACTCCTCTTCTCCACTAGTAAATCCAATTGTTGCAGCACAAACAACGAAATCAGCAACTATATAGAGACATAATCTATGGAATAAACCATATTCATGATAGATTTGTCTTACCTAATTGAAACCGGTGTTGAATGGTGAAGACGTGACGTTAAACTCTTCTCCGCCGTGATCCAACGAGAAAGCAAAGCAATTACAACTCTTGATCACCAAACAATGGTCATGGAGGCTTGAAAACGAGGTTCTTAAGTGCTGCTTAGGGTTAGAGTTTGTGAGGTTAAGAAGCGGCTGCAGCCTGCAGGTAGAGGAAGATATATACATTATATACATATGTACACTGCACACACACTCTTAGGTTTTAGTGTTTTTTTATTGGACCCTTATGGGCTTGAATTGGGTCTCACACATATCTCAATATTCTAAGTATATTCTAATACTATATCCTAATAAAATTTGAGAAACCGAAACAATCATCCATCATGTTTCCTTGACCAAAACTTCTTGTCCTACACGAATCAATGTCCTAAAATGAAACTTCTTGTCCTATTCTAATACAAATCACTATTACACTAAGCATTGCTATCCTAAAGCCTCATATCAATAAAACCCATTTGTGTAGGAGTCCTACGTAGTGCAATTATAAACAACGAAGAAGAGAGACCTGAAAGATAAGAGTGTCCCAGACCGTGCTATCACGCCGTCACCACTTACCGTTTCTCCATGGAACCAAGTCTTTGCCTGTGCGGCTGCTCGTTGATGTATAAGAGATTATTGTGGTGGTGGATGCTTTTAGATGTGCTTCACTACTTATATATACGTAGAGAAGATATAGGGTGCAGTTGTAAACCCTTTTTTTTTTAAAAGTTAAGAGATTCTGTGGAGGACAAAATTTATAACGCTATCACTAGATCTTATCTAAATCTCATCATATTAAGATATTTTTCCCTTTTAACAACAAGAAAAAAAAACAATAGAACAAGAACATAAGGTTGACACTCAAATTAGCCTATAAAGCCTCAATTAATCTCGTATGAAAGTAAAGAAACTCATCAAGAATTCACAATTCAATTTCAAGACCGTTGTGTGCCCTAATACTCGAAATCAAAAGTCTCATCTGTTGTCGACTTGATCCGCTCTCAAGGGAACAGAGGGTCTCCTTCAAATATCTCCGTCCTAGATACTTTTCGTTTTGAAAATTTCAACCTTAATTTGCTCGATCGCGAGGTCTACTTTGTTTTTTTTTTTATGAAATGTAGGATTCCAAGATTTATGGCCTCATTGAGTTTTTTTTAACAGAATTATAATAATAATGTGTTAAAAAAATTATAAAAATAATTTGAAAGAGTTTTGGGAAATCATAATAAAAAATACCACTAATTTGTGCATAGTTTGCAAAAGATACAATAACGTTTTCTTTTTGAACAAAAAAAAATTTTGTTTTTTTGTTTTTTTTTTGGCTTCAACAATTATTTTAAAATATACAAGTATATTCTCAACAGAGAAAGGAAGGGATAATTTAGCAAAATAATCCGACTATATATGGTAGTTTCCATCAACAAATTAGAAATTAAAAATTAGAAAAAACTAAGAGAGCAATTTTAATATTAAAAAGAAATGTTCACATAAGATTCTTCTAAATTTTTTGATTATACGTTTCAAGTTTTACTTGTAAAAGCTAAAATATAAAAGTGTTAGATTTAAGTGGCTCCACTTGCAAATCTATAAGGTTCAGTTATTAATATTTAAATTCAAAAGAAAAAACAAAACTTTACAAATTTTAACTTCTAGAGTCACAGTTAAATATGTATGAGAGATGACTCGTTCATTGCTAGAATGTTCCACTCTGTGAAGTACTGATTTGATTCTACTAATTTCTTCTGATGCAATTCACATTTGGTAAGATCGTTTCTGCTATTCTGTAGCCTCTCATGAATCTTCAATATACATATTACTTCGTGTCTTCTTCTTTTTTTTATTTCCTTGAATAAACACAAAAATACATCACAGCCCAAACTTCTTCTCATACATAAAAAAAAAAAGACATGACAAGAAGTGAAGAAACAATCAGTCTCTACCATGATAACCAGCGGCGGATCCATAAACTTTTTTTATATGGGGCACAAATTATATATAACTAATGATATTAGTTTAAAAAAATTAAATATTTTAAATATTTACATATATTAATAAATAACATAAATTTCACATTTTATATATTTTTAAAATGAAAAACCAAATACCGTTTTTTGAAAATATTGTTCTTTTTCTAATTTATCAATTAAAAATATACAATTACAACTCTATATAAGTTTCTTGAAAATATTGTTCTTGATAGGTTTTATTGTTTAAACCAAAACAGCAAATGTTCTCCATATGAAAATGAAGGAAACTGGTCATAGTCCACCAAGAAATCGTTAATATCACATTCTTGGTTCATGGTATGGTATGTGGCTTTGTCGTCCTCAGTAGTGATTGCTTGGTGATCAGTTGATGCTAACTGAGGCATAACCAATTCAGACTTAACTTGGTCAAACTGTATCATTTCTGAACCGAACGTTTCATCATAAACCTCAAATGCTTTACATGTATGCTGTCCCATATAACTTGTTCTGATCATCTGCACCCGCTTTGTAGCATTACAGTTTCGGTCTTTCGCATATGCACAGCAATAGTAAGACCTGCACATATCATCTAATTCTTGAATTTTTCGCTATGTAGGGAAAAAACACAACTACTTGTATTCTCATGTCTTTCATAAAACAGAGAAACACAACCATTAGCTCTGTTTCTTCTAACCTTTGGTGCACCGATGTTTTGATAGTCTTTTGGTGCATCAGGTCGTGGATTCGGGGACTCGTGATCTCTATACTTCTCAGGCTTCAAACCTTTTATCCCACAAATCCTCCTGCAATATTATAACAAGAACTCATGAACTTTTGTGTATAGAATATGCAAAGAGAGTTTTATATATTTTTTTTTTTTTGGTAACTTACTTCTTTGATGATCTTTGATGCACAAGACCTGCCATGTTTTGAGAAGAAGAAGACTCAAGAAGTTGTGGAGAGTTAGGAGAATCCACAAAAGATAGAGCAAGTGAGAAAGAATCAAGAATGGTATTGATCAATGGCTCTATCAAGACAGAACTTATTTCGCGGTTGTCCAGAAGCGTCTTGAGGTTGTTAGCACATCCTTGGCCATGAAGAAGTGCTGCCAAAGCCTTGTGATCAATGTTGGAAAACATTTTTTTTTTGGTTTAAGGTTGAGAAAAATCTTGATCAATTCTCAATATATATAGAAACAAAAAAAGTTTTGTGGCAACCTCCATTTGTTTATATTATAATGTGGAAAAATCAATCTTTGAAAATACTCTTTTTTATAAACGTTTGGGTCTTAAAAGGTTTTTAAAACTCACCAAATACAATCTTTGAAACTCCACATTTCTCTTTTCTTTCCTCACAACCTATCCCACTTTGTATTGGAATAAAAACCAATATCCCACATCGGAAGATTAGAAAGAAAAGTTTCTAATATATAAGTCAAGTCCAACTCCAATTAGTATGAGGCCTTTTGGGAAGGAGCCCAACAAATCCGTGCGGGCTTTAGTTATAGGCCCAAAGCAGATAATATCATATTAATGGAAAATTGGTTTGGTTGAGAACCCAACAATTGGTATCAGAGCCGATAAAAAAAAAAGCACATCGAGACTAGGAGGGCTAAGATTCGTGGTCTATGGTTTGAGGGGGAGTACTGGAATGCAAACCAATATCCCACATCGAAAGATTAGAAAGAGAAGTTTCTAATATATAAGTCAAGTCCAACTCCAATTAGTATGAAGCATTTTGAGAAAGAACCCAACATATTCGTGCGAGCTTGAGTTATAGGCCAAAAACGGACAATATCATACAAATGAAAAATTGACTTGGTTTAGAGAACCCAACACTTTGATCTTACAAGCCAGTCAACTCACTTTCGGTATTGATAGTTTATTCCATAAGTGTTGTCTTATAAATCACATTAGAGTAGTTCATAATTAAATTAATCATAAATTCGTTAAATTAGTTCCAGAGCAACCTATTACCTATTGATAAAATTTATCATTTTCATATCCAATCGAAAGAGGATGTGTTTTCATAATTAATTAATCATATTGGATGCAAACTATGTGGAAATGGAGAAACTCGTTATGATAAAACTAGTTCTGCATTAAAAAAAAACGAAAGTATAATTTTGTTTTTTTACTGAAGTATAAAAGTATAAATCTTATCAAATAGAAATGTCTTTGCGCAAACTATATATATACATTTTTTTTTGGATTTGTCGTTAGTATCAAGAGTTGTATTGTATGTTCATCAAAATAGGTAAGATACACTAAATACTAAAAACCATATAGGCAAATTGAGAAAACAGAACAATAATTACACTTTTCTTGGGCAAAATAAAATAAAATAAAATGTGTAACTTTTTGAAACAATTTTCCTTTTCTTTTTAGAAACATATATCAATATGAAACAAAAAGAGTAATTTTTACACACGTACACTCATAAAAGAGAACTAAACAATTCACTCTTTCTTTCACTTTTCTCTCCACAAAGTCAAAAGGTCATATGCAATATAGAAATATAATTATGTATCTTCTAATTATTTTTACAATCACATATATTATATTTTGAAAATTTTAAAGATAGATTTACACTTTTCTTGTTTGATATTGTGAGACTCTAGTTTGCGAAAAGGTTTAAATGAATTGATTTGGTCACCTATGTCACTAAAGTCCATTTATCTTTTCAGTCGAATGTCATGAGAGAATTTCATAGTTAAGCGTGCTTATGCCGGAGTAGTCAAAGGATGGGTGACCTTTCGGGAAGTGGTTGTCGGAATTGTGTTAGTGAGACCAAAATACGGAGAAAGATCATATGTTGATTTGTAAGATCGGTAAACAAGTCTTTAAGCTCCCGGACGCAGCAAACCGACCATCGGTTATGGATGGGTTCACGAACCTAATGAGAAGACGTGAGACCCATCAATAGAGGTGGGCTCATAGACTAAAAGTGAACATAGGGAGTTGACGGTCGGGACGTTACAGATTTGATATATCGTTTATCAAAAAATAGCGTGCGACAATATTAATAAAAATAGTTATTTTTGTGCAAAATATCTCTGTCTTAAATTTGCCTTAATTTATAATGGAAAAATCGTTCTCTTTTCCCTATTTTTCCCATCCAATTTTTTTTTTCTTTAGATTTGGAAAAAGTATCTTAATACAGTTAGATACAAAACTTTGTGTTAAAATACTTATTTTTATTTTAAAAGCCTTACAATAAGGATGCTCTTAAGCTGTCACATATGCATTTTTATCTATTTCTCATGTACTGACGAAAGAGAGGGAGAAGAAAGAAGAAGACAAAAAAGTAAAATTTACTATCCAAAAAAAAAAAAAAAATCAACCTTTCAACTCATAATTAACTAATAAATTATAAATTACGAATTAGCCATTGCGTAGCTTCATGAAAGTTGTTTAACATATAGCCAAATAGTCGTTTGATAAGTGGCAACAATGTTCGAGCTGATGGATCATATGGTGGGATAACGTGTATATGAATTGGTATAGTGCTCACTTCTTTGGTGTTTGCATGCATATCGGCCAATATGGTACGTAGAAATGTGTTTAACAGAATAACCAAATTATATTTCTCGTTATTAACTTTTGTATCCACAATATTCTTCACCTAATTAATTATGTTGTCATTACGTCATTTGATTTTTGTTCTTTTGTGGAAACGTAAAATAGAGAAGAAGACGTGACGATGAGAGGATGGTTTTTTTTTTACTTTCGTGGATGCTTCTAAAGAGCCATATATATATAATATTTCCATAATTAACTAATCATAAGTTTATTATGAAACTTATGATTAGGTCTCATTCCCATGCAAAAAAGATACGCAACCCATTTTTTGACTAATTAGGAAGTGGATTAAAGGAAGTAATGACTTAGGTAAAAGAAAAATATATCTACTGTTTGGTTCAGATAGCCTTAAGTTGATTTTTATATACAAATTATATAGATTATAGCTATGAAATATACAGTATGAAGAAAAACATATATTAGAAAGTTTAACCAAATATGGATCAGTGAAATAAAATTAATATTTTTACGAGTCAAACATTTTTCAAAATTACGTTGTTATCTTAATAAAAAAATTCTTGACTCTGTTGCCAACTTGTTATATCCAATTGAAAGAGGATAATTAATCAGATAAAATTTGTCATTTCCATATCACCAATTAGTGACAAATTGTGTTTTATAATTAACTTATCAGCATAATTAGATGCGTCATTTGGTTTCTTTTTGAAAGTGGCATATTTTCTTGTAGTGTTTTGTCCGTATATGATTTAAAATGTCAAAACTACATTCAACTATATGTAAATAGAGAAACTCTTTTATTAAAAAATCAGTTTTGCATAGATCTTATCAAATATAAATGTCTTTGCGCATTTATATGCGAATTTTCCCCACTCTAAACTATAAATACGATCGTAGTGTTTTTTTTTTTTTTTTTTTTTGTAAATGATTCATTGTGATTGAAGTAATGATTTAAGGTGGACGTGAAAGCTAATGTTGAGATCACGAAAGACCAGTTACAACACAATTACTCTAATTCTCATGAAATTCTGATCGAGTAACACTTGACTTACCGTACGTCGACAATATATATTGGAAGGTATGATTTTTCTAGATTTGATATAATGAATTTTTGTGGTTGCTAGTCCGTCATATGCACATTAAATTTTTAGGCTTGAAAAAAAATGATTTATAGAAGCAACATTACAAGTGTTAGATTTCATAATATTATTAAGCTTTTCTATCCCGTAGTTAGTTAGTCGGACTCAAAATGTATGTTTTACATTTTTTAAATCGTCAATTATGGATGAGGTTAGCCTTGTTAAATTCTTTCGAAGGAGGACACAAAGTATACATACACTCAATAATAAACGCCATTCATATGTTTTAGCGATGACCATAACCTCATAGGAAATATCGATGATTTTTTTCCATGGATAAGAGTTTTTTTGGTTATTTTTTATAATTTCTGAAGAGTTTTTATAATTATTCTTGATAATAGCATAGTTCTACAAACAAAACTAATCAACTACAACATCGACAAAAATTGTTGTTTTTACTATAAATAAGAGAACGCACAAATATGTTCAAATGGTTAGTTTGATTTTTTAATTTCTTTGGAAATGTATTGATGTAAATTCTACAAAAATTTCGTAGCTAATAGCTAATAAATAAGACAAAAATATCATATTGTTAATACTTAGTGAATTTTACCTTAAAAATAGCCTATAGTGAAAAATACCCAATTCTCTACCACTAAGAAAACCAATCCTGAGATTTTTTGTAGAAACTATTCTATTTGGGAATAGGAAAGAACGTGACCACCAATTGTATTGACCATTATATTTTGATTCCAACAATAGGGTTTTGAAGGAAACGTGTGCAATAAGCAACTCCTATCTATTACTCTGTTTCGTGTGACTTCTGCGTAAGCTACACAAAACAGATAATACAAGTCAATCAAATTATAGAAACTTTCTACGAAGCTTCGACAGATGTCCATGTTTTATCTAAATAGAGCAGCTAGAAAGCCATAAATTTTAGAAGCACAAACAAAAAATTGATTTGAAATTAAATAAGACGGTTAGTAATATATTAGAATTAACTAAGAAACTTACTGTTTCTCTTTGTCTTTACATCACTATCTTTAGACTCTTCACTGTGATGAGTCTTGGTGCCATCTGGCGGAGGATCCCACGAAGCGGGTTGTTACATTTTATTTTTACAAAACATAATGTAATAATGATATCACTTTTCCGGTTAACTTTGACTTAACATATTGTAACACCATGCATAAGTTTTACATAAACATTTGGATACACATATATATAAACACTCGACGAACGATACTATAAGTTAAACTCCGATGTTCAAAACTAAGGATTGACCCTTTCTTTCTGACAAGGTAGATTAGGATACTTAGGACTACAACCCCATGCATGATCTTGAGCGAGAGCATCATAGCTTATCACCACTTCTTGTGCATTGGTCTTGAGTGTTCCAAGTGTGAAGAACACCATAACAAGAACCACATACATCATTATAGCCTTCATTAATTTCTTAGACATAGCCATATCTTTTCTTTGTTTTTTTGTCTTTTTTATTGAATTAAGATTGGATTTTTGTTGTTGTTGTGTGAGAAACATGAAGGGATTATTGAAGCTTTAAATAATATAGGAGATGTGGGAGACAATATTGTTATATTTGTTTTTCTATTTTTGGGATACAGATTTAGTGTATCGTTGTAAAATAATGATATATATTGTTATTTTACTATTTAAGTGATTAAAAAGAATGAAGAGGAACAAGAAAAAAAGGAACATAAGAAAAAAAAAAGGAACAAAAAAAAAGGAATGGACGCACGGAAAAAATAGAACAAATGATATGGTAAATGCTAACCAAAAAACAGAACAAACTATAAAACAAATAAAAAAAACTTATTTAAAAGATTATACGTTATCAACAACTTTTGCATGATTTTGTTTTTTTTTTTTAATTTGTTATCCTATTTGTTCCACATCAAATTTGAAGAGGAACAATTTTCTTCTATGATTCCTAAAAAAAAGGAACGTATAAGAATAGTGTGGGGTCCATGTGTCAAAATTTGGAATATATATTACTGCTAAATGGTAAACAAAATGAGGAATAAGGAGGAATAACTTATTCCTTTTCATTCCTTATAAAACAATTGGTCACCAGTTGGACCCATATTGTTATTTTACTATTTAAGTGATTAAAAATTAGTTTCACGTCTTAAGTTTTAAGAGATATCGAAAGGTTTAAAAATCTTGTTATTAACATTACTAGATTTTAACCCGCGGGACGACATTCTAAAATGTATTTTTTTTGTTTGTTTGGTATATAAGAGTATACTAAAAATTTTGATTATTAATTTTATGATTTAAACCGTAGAATATTACATGATAATTTATTTTTTATATAATCGTAATTTGATTAAATTAATTAAATAAGTATAATATTTCAAATAATGAAATGATACTGACATAATATTCGTTTACATAATATAATTTCATATTAAAATATTTTTGTGAGTTATACTATAGTAGACAACCCGTAAAATTATCTATAATAATAATTTTGTAAATTATAACCCGTTCCATCACATGACACGTGCTACACAATTATCAGTAATACTTTAGTACATACATTTTTGTATCGTTTGAGTAATATATATCCGATTCTAAAAATTCAAATTGCAACATATGCAAAAGCAAAATTATATTTTTATTATACATATGTTTATATAATAATATAAATTTAAAAACAAATAAGATCATATAAAGATGTTGGAGAAATTTTTGATTTATGAGGGAGAAATTTTTGATTTATGAGGGAGAGATTTTAGGAAATTTTGTTAAATGTAATAAATATTGATTTTCTAAATTTATAAATTTATTATGATTTAATTACAAAATTTATCTTAAACTTTTTCTATTTAATCAAATGAAAAAGCTTTAATTATGCAAATATTACAAAATAAAAGGATAGAACACAAAAGGTACTTCAAAAATGTTAATATAGATTGCAAGTTTGCAACAAACTACTTAACTAACAGTTCAACAAGATTATATTGAAAATAACAAGCAGGGAGAAATAGGATTTAAAAAGTTTATTATGTGGCAACCACAATATATAAGATAAAAGTATCCAAATACGATATAAAATATGAATCTATATACATTTGTATGAAACGTCCAAATGTATTCACATTATACCTTACCATCACATCCCAATATCCTATTGTAATTCGTTTCAGGTTGCACCATTACATCACTTTCGTGGGTCGTATGTTGTTTAATAGTTTGACATTACATCACCTTTTGTGTTACGTGTAAACGAAAAATAGAAGAAAAGAACAATTGTTTGGTCCTTTGTGTGAACCCAAATACGACTTGTTGTTGGGAAAATTGTCAAAATTAACTCAAACTATTTACTGTCAGCGTTTTTATAACCAAACTATGACATTGGACAAAAAAATCAACATAAAATCATTAAAAATAAAATTTATTATCCAAATTATATGAAATTAACCAAAATCAATATAGTGGGAAACGATGTTAATTAACCGCTTAATATGAATGAGTCTGATCACAGGACATAAAAATTGGGTGAAACGACGTTGTTTTTAGAATTTAGGGATTTCGAATCAAAGATCCGATGAGTGTTTGTTTTAGTGATTGTCAATTTGAGAACCTTAAGATCACGAAACAAGGTTTTTTACTCAATTTCAATGACATGTCATTGCCACATTGTCAGTTGTTAGTTCGTAACCAAATTAAAATAAAAGTGGATATAAACTTATAAGTGGATATAAACTTTCCAATATTTTTATATTAATTCAGATTATATAATAAAGTGCAAAAAAATAAATATTGACATTTCATACAAAGAGGACGACCGGAATTTTTGTATAAGAACATATAACTAATTTAAGTAACTATTTGAAGAATCAATTGAAAATAAAAAGAACTTAAAAAGTATTTATATCAAAAATATTTAAAATTGATCGAACTTGAGACTTGAGACTTGAGAGTTATGGTAGATATTTACTAAAATTCAGCTAAAAAAAGTAAAATCATTTGATCAATTATTTAAGTTATAACAACACAAACTAAATTAGAAAATGCATGTATGTTCAAACATTTTGATTAGATTGGCTTGTGTTCAATTCAACTATAGCTAGGTAATACTATGCAAAATCACACGACCATATATCACACGACCTAAGAAGAAAGAGACAAAAACAAAATCACAAAAGGAAGAGAGAGACCAAAGATCTGATTGGGTCACATGAAAACTGCGCAACCTTAATTTGACTTCTTGTTGTCGTAACCATATCAAATTGGATAAGCTTTGAATTCGTGGTTTTTATTTCATGTAAAGTTTTATATTTATGTTCTTCTTCTTTTACCAACTACATATTAATTAAAAATAACTAGAAAGTGACGGTAATCACATATATGTGGAAAAATAGTACTAATAGTGTGAGCCAAAAAGGGTTATCTATGCTTAATTAGTCTTTTTCTTCAATTTGGTGGAATTGTACTCTTGTTTCTTGCATTTGTGGCAAAATATATATATGTATATATTTTTAAAGTCGATCTGTTTGGTATCTTCTTATACTTTTAAGGAAACAAAACTAATTACTATGAATGAGAAGTTTGTCCATGATGCCAAAACAAAGAAAACCCATTTGGGAAATTAGATAACGATTTTTAAGTAATTAAATCACAATTCCATCAAATAAACCAAAAAATGTAAAAGGGGGAATTTCAAAAATACCCCTTTTCCAATATCACTTTTTAAAAATACCCCTCTTTCTAATTTTATCAATAAGTTACCATAAAATTTGAAATTTATCTAAGAAATTTGTGTAACCTTATACTTATAGACACAAATTATCTTTTTATTTGTGTAAATTTATATATATTTCATAAATACCGTATAAATACCTTTTAAAAACTTTTTAAAAAACCATTTAAAAACCTTATAAAAACTTTGTAAACCTTTTAAAAACCTTATAAAAACCGTAAAATGCTGATTAGAACCTTTTAAAACCTTATAAATATTTTGATTTAGTTTCCCAGTAGTAAAGATGATCTTGATGTACCTTATCAAGCATATAAAAATTTATAATTTTTTACATTTGAAAAGAGGTATTTTTTAAAATGGATAGAAAAGAGGAGTATTTTTAAAAAGAGATACACTAAAAGGGGTATTTCTAAAAATTCTCAAAAATGTACCTCACGAAAATGTTGTTCTTACTACTATGAATTTAAACTATATAAAAATGTTGAGAAGAAAATTAAGTATTATTAACCAACTAACCCAATCAAATTTTGTTTTTCCTTCCAAAAAAATGATAACACGTTTAATTATACTTGTTTAGTTAATAAAAAATTTGGCCAACTTTTGTTTACAGTCGCATCTTCCATGGAGATAGAAGATGTCATTGCGGATAAAGGTTTGCTTTGCTCCAAGATAGAGACAAGAAGGAAAAATAAGATTTGCTTCAAAGTCCATGTTTCAATATTGTATATATAGATACTACTTCGTCATTTTATTTTGAATATACGCAAGACTACATTCTACTTGTTTTGGCAAATACATTTTTACAAGTGTATATAATAATATACTTCTCGTCAAGTTTGGTGGGTTCAAAAGCCAAAATGATGACGACATGCCATATCATCATCATCTTAGAATTAAAAGGGCAATTAATTAAGTAACTAGAATATGATCATGTTTTATAATTAAGTTGTAAATATAGTAATTGTATTTAGAATATCTACATTTTCCATTTCAAAATCCCTTTATTATTACCATATATAAATTTCTATATATTTAATGAGTTTTTTTTAAATGTACTTTAACTTATAAAATCTTCTATATATATTAACAATTACAACAAACATTTGTTGACATATAAAAGAAAAAAAATTGACAAAAAAAAATTATAACAAACATTTATTTATAAATATTAAATTACCTTAGATTTATAGAGTATTTTAGTTTTTTAAAAAGATTTATTAATTGTAAAATTAGCATAAGGTTTACACGTGTGTGATACGAATTCTTACCGATTATATACTATATGCTTAAAATTTATTAATGAACATATAGAATAATTTGTTAAAAATTGGTACTCAAAATATCAAAAAACAAAAAGTAAAGAAATGATAACTTTAAAATTAGATCTCTTTCCTCACCCTAACGAAATTACCTTTTTACCCATTATCTGATTTAACAAAAAATAAAAAACTGATATTTGCTAAAATAGCATATCATGTAAATCGTATGTTACCGCTATACATTATAAGTTATTTGATAACTTCATAGTTATATAGTTAAATTATTTATAGTTATTCATATGTTAGCTCTATTAACTATGTAAATAATATGTTACCGCTATACATTATAAGTTATTTGATAACCTCATAGGTATACAGTTAAATTATTTATGTTACCGCTATAAATTATAAATTATTTGATAAATATCATAATTATCGAGTTAAATTATTTATTATATGACTGATATCAACTAATTTATTTG